GGGCTTGGATGTCGAGGTTGGCGTACGATTCGGGGTACGTCTTGTGGTGTTGGCTGGCGTCATTGGGTCCACTCGTAGGCCCGGTTGGCCCTGTTGCGACGCTGCTGTTGCGTGTTCGCGGCTTGGGGTCTGCGCGGTTGGTGGTGCTTTCGAGGATTTGGTAGACGGGGGTATCCGGGCGTGTCTCGAGAGGCTCCTTGCGCCGCCGAGAGCAGCAGACGTAGCCGCCAACGACGGCCATGAGGACGGCAACGCCGCAGCCGATACCGACAATCAGCGCGGTCGCTACAGCAAGTGAGTGCAATGCTGACGAACAGCGATCGTACAAGATGAGCTCTTGTTGGACGAGGTGCACTGCGCTGTGACGGTGAGATGCTTGCGAATGCTGGCGCAGGGATTTCCAAACACACTACGTCGTCATGAGCCGCCACGACGCGCTCGAGAAATCGGTACCTGTTGTCGGCGCTGACGCTGCACGCTGTCTTGCCGAGACAGGCTGCGGCGACGATCGCGGTCGAGTTGGCCGCGTCGCACTTGCCCTGGGCAGCGTACAGCCCCACGTTACTTGGCAAGCCGTAGGAGGCGAAGAGAATCTTGCTGATGGTTGCCGACGTGTCGGCGCAGGCAAGCGAGAGCGTGCTGTTCTCTGTCACGTTGGCGGCGGCAAGCATAGCGCCCGAGTCGAGAGCGAGTGTCGGTGTGGCAGCTGCGCACTGCGCCGTGACGGTCAAGTGCTTGGCCGTGCCAACGCATTCGTCTGTAAACCAGCTACACCACCATCAGCGCTCTCCGGTATGGTCGCTGCGGCGTCGCACCTGTTGACGGCCCAGAGGCTGCAGGCTTGCTGCTGGAGGCAGTAGCTCTGCACGACCGGCTTGGACTTGGGCGAGTCGCAGTAGCTCTCGGCCGACGCGGCGAGACCGTCGCCCTTGGGCATACCGTAGGACGCAAAGAGAATCTTATTGATCGCCGTCGAAGCGTCCGGACAGCTGAGGGTTAGCGTCAAGTTCTCGCCCACGGTCTGCGTCACGGCGGTCGTGCCAGGGTCCTGTGTCAACAGCGCACTCGCCGCCGCCGGCAGCAGCAGCCAGCGCAACATGCTACCCGATAAGGCAAAGTGGGAAAGGCCATCGATCCTGTGCCCATCACCACCGTTGCACGCGGTTGTGGCTCCAAAATTTGAGCACGCCGCCGTCTCTGCCGACGCGGTGGACCTCGCCAGCGCAAGCAGGGGATGTGCTTGTGTCTCTTACGAGTCTCGCCGGACGGCTGACGACAAGACCATGCAAGCCGACCCCAAGAGACTGTGTACTTGGGGTACTTGGGTATGGCGACCACCGCCGGCGAAAACACAGGCAGAGTTGGCGCAGCTCCTGACCCACTTCTCCACCTGAGAGTGCGCTCAAGGCGAGTGTCCACCAACGCATCCTAACTGAGCGATCTGGCTACGATGCCAGCGGTATCGCCGTGCGTAAAGGTCGCTTGTCAGCACCAAGGACCATGGATAAAGAAGTGCTAAGTGCGTGTGGTACACAGTTCGATCCTCGCTACGGCAGACCGACGTGGGCCACGTGCACGTCGCTGGCCTCGTGCGTCAAAAAGTGTTGCATTTCTACAGCATACATACAGCGTTCGTCACTTGAGAGCTCTCGTACCGGCGGCGTGCAGGATCGGCGGGTGCATGATGACGGCTTGGAGGTAGACGCTCAGCGCGTCCTGCCGACCCTTGACCTAACCCGCATCATTGTCTCATACCCATTGTTATAGTAAAACGAGTACGATGGACGCGCGGGTCGAAAAGAAGAGGTGACGCGGCGGCAACCGTGGCAAAGAGCTCATGTCGACGAGCTGCTGCAACGTCTCGTGGAGCGCCCTACTCAAACGTATGCTGCAAATGTATCAATGTATCAAGGTGGCAAACCGAAACTCGCTGAAGCGCCGGAAGACTGTCCACTGGTACGGACCCCCGAGCACGAGCAGCCGGTAGACCGAGAAGGACGCAAGCACATCGTACGCTGAGAGTCAAGGCCACAATGCAACCGAATCAAAGTGCAAGAAATCGCCAAAAAAGATATCGAAGGGCGGTGGGGCACACGGGCACGGGCGTCCTTGTTGTCAATGTGGCAGAGCTCGACGCGGATCGACCGGATCGGTTGGCTTTGGAGGTCCGAGAGCTCCAAGACCACGGTTTCGGCGCCAGGGTCCTTCGTGACGCTGACGTCCGTCGACACCTCGGTGCATCGGCCCTTCTTCTCCAAGTTCAAGAGCAAGTACCGCGTCTCCTGGAGGCCGCTGCTACTGCGGAGGTGTTCGACAGCGACCTGGAACAGCCGCGGCGACGCATGACACGGAATAGAGTAGAGCTTCTTGACGGCGGTCACCCGGAGCGTGTGGTCGACAGCCTCCACGACCAAGGTCGAGTCGAGTGCGAGCTCCCAGAGCGGGTGGCCTTTGGCGAGACACGTGATGCGCTTGTTGGTGAGGAGCACGAGACCCCGGTTGGCTTCGTCACCGTACTCGACGTGGTAGACATATTCGTCTTCAAGACCCGTCAGCAGCATGAGCGCACTGCCCTTGGCCTCCCGCTACGATACAAACGCATGACAATAGTGTTGATGCCACCCACGTACCTCCGAGTAGGCAACCAGAACACCGTCCGACCTAAGCACACCATCAGTATCTCATCAATACCAGCGTGGAAGCGGTACCCAAAACGGCGCGGAAGGCGGACGCGGCTCGACCCACGGCGCTCGAGGCGAGCGTCCATCGATTCGGCCGTGACTTTGACGCCGTGCGAGACGCTCGTGAGCAAGTCAAGCACGCCCGCGGTCGGCTTGACGAGCAGTCCTGCAAAGCCCTGCGCCATTTCTGGTGTGCTGTGACTGCACGCATAGCAGAGAGGTACCTTGCCAAGCCCCACAATGAAGCCGCCGGCACCGTCGTTGGCGGCACCGACGACGGGCTCGATGACGACACCACGGACGCCTTCCCAGATGCCGCCGGCGAGGTCCTTGCCGCCTTCGACGATGCCGTCGCCCAGATGCGAGATGGTCGTTGCCTACCCCAAGTGGATCCTTGTAACCAACAGACGTAGCGTCCTACTTGTTTGAGCGCGCGTTGCTGGCGCTGCGTGTTGTACTCGTTGTCCATCGCTAGCATCGCAATACCCTTGCCGAGCGTCTCGGTGATCTTGCCCGTCGTGTGGAAGATACCGACGGCCGTGTTGCGCAAGAGGCTCTTGGAGCCCTATCCGAGTATCAACTTAGTATCAAGCGACCCACGTACCTTGGTCATGCCGGTGCGAAGGTTCTCAATCCGCAGACCAGACTCGTCTTCGAGAAGCATCTGCGCCGGCGTGAAGAAGAAGTCGCGCACGCCCGTGCCGAGGGTGCTCACGAGGCCGATCGGGTTCCCGAGCACATCGACCGACCCGACAATCTACCATAGTATCAATGTTTCAACGTAGCAAGAGGAAGCCCGGCGGTACCTTGTACCAGGACCGGAGCCCATAATGCAAGTAGTGTTGCATGACGTAAAAGCCGAGCGCGTACTTGGTCTCAAAGACGCTCTCAATGTAAAACTCGGGGATCTCGATCGGCGCGCGGTCCAAATTCGTCACGAGCGCCGTCGCTGCCCCAATGATGTTGCGCAAAAGCGGACTCATTTGCGGCGAGAGCTATCCAAACCACGTTATCCTATCCAGTATCCAGTGTCGAAGTTCGTAGGACGTACGATCGAGTGCGTTAGCGGCTGGTCGGTCGTGCTCGAGAACGTCACGTTGAGCCGGATCGGGCACAGCAAGAGCCAGCGAAGGACGACCTTCTTGTTCTCTTCGAGCATCGAGTCGGTGATGTGCAACTCTGCGAGCAGATTCTGCGCCGACAGGAGCGCGTAGACCGACGACGCGCGCGGCGCCAGTGCCGGCGCCTGGAAACTCCAGTCAATGTTGGAGAAGACCCGCGCGATCGCGACGAGCAGAAAGTCTTCGACCTTGATCTCGAGTTCCTACGAGAAACAAAGGTGGGACCACGATGTCGTGTCATGTGGACCTGGAGCTGCGCGAAAATGTACTCGAAATGCATGACGGCGGGCAAGACGTTGACCACCGCCATGAACTGCACCGTGGGCATGGCCTCGCCGCCGCTAGGCCGCACCGGCGCAAGCGTCACGGGGTAGTTGGTATCCACGAGCTGGTTGTCGAGCTGCACGTGGTCGAGGCGGACGTTGATGACTTGCCGATTGTCCGAGACGACGCCGTAGCTCACTTGAATGCCGGGCACGTCGGGCGACCCTGTCAAGGACGCGCAGAGCACCTCTTCGTTGAGGTCGACGAGCGAGACAAACACCGGTCCGACGTCGATCTGGGCGTACAGCGAAAGCGACGGTGCAACGGCGTCCAATGGCTTGAGCAGCTCCCACTTGAGCGCGATGCGAATGTGACCCACAATGCGAAGCTCACTCCCGCTGGTCGCCGTCGGTACAAACTGGTACAAGGCGCAGATGCGCTCGTGGGCGTGCTCGACACGGACCCAGTCGTCGTCGTCGTCCGGAATACGCACCCAGCAAATCGCGAGCAGCGTGTCGGTCTGCCGATGCTGCTAGCTGTGGTCGAGGTCGTCCATGATCGCGTCTTCCCCAAAAAAGTACAGGAACGGTAGGACACTGGCCTCCTTCTCTTCGCTAACGCCGTGGTCCTTCTCGCGCGGCCGCTCGTACAAGCGTACCTTGAGGTACCCGTCGGCCTTGGCTTCACCAAAGAGGAGCCTCCGATTCCACTCGATATCGACAACCGGCGCGTCGTCCGGCGTCGTCGTCGGCGCCAGCGTCAGTGTAAACACCGCGGCGTCACTCCGCGCGGCTTCGATCGCAGCAAACGCTGCGTCTTTCGAAAGGTTGAGAATCGTGTGGCTATTGACGGCTTGGACGCGGTCACCAACCCGGATGCGCCCGTCCTTGTAGTAGAGTCCGCTCTGCCCGTCGCAGTCGACGCCGTGGACGTGCACGTGGCCATCGGCGTACACCAAGTCGAGGCCGAGCGCATGGCCACCAAGAAAGTCGAGGACCACCGGCGTCTCGCGCTGTCTCGGTGTCACCGCGTCGTCTTTGGGCAACACAGGTGTCGTGCACCGGGTCGAGAGGTCCGACTCGATCGCGACGTAGTAGTTGTGCGTCGACTGCAACGGCAGCGGCGACGAGACGTGCATGACAACGACGCTGAGCTGCTTCTTTTCATCCAAGAGCGTATCGTCGCTCGCCGTGCTTGTCGCAGTGCTAAAGCTCGTGAGGCTGCGCCGGTCGCCGTCGGTGCTCGACTCGAGGTCGGCCACGTCCAGCGACGCGGCTTCCAGCACCAGCTGGAACCGGTCTCGACACCCGAGCGCCATCTCGACGTCAGCGCGGACAGCATTCGCGATCAGGACCTCTTCGTGCATTTGGTCCATGGCCGAGGGAGACAGCGACACGAGTAGGTGCACTGACGCAGAGGACGGCATGCCCGTCACGCTCGACGTCAACGGACACCACACGTCGAGGGTGCTTGGCTGCGTAGCGTCGCACAGGACACTGACGTCCAGCTCATAGTACCCGAGAAGCGTACTCCCAAAGATGGCGTCGGCATCGCGAACCTCGAGGCGGAGCACGCTGGTGGTAGACGCCGCCAGGACGCCGCGCACGGCCTCCGTCTCTTGCGGCAGCCAAATCGGCGAGATCGCTTGCTTCTGCGGGTGTACCTCCTTGGAGCGACCGTGCAAGTGGATCTTGACAAACGGGCGGAAGGTCTCGCCCACCGTGGGGAGGAGGCAGCCGAGGCGCCGCGCCTCGAGGACATAGAGACACAGCGCGTAGTGATCGCTTTGCATCGTCTCTGGCCGCGCGACACTGCTTGGCACGGGTGCGAGGACCTGAGCCGTCTGCGCGAGGCGCCGGAGAATGTGCTTCCAGTCCTTCAGCAGCATCGACTGCCGCTTGTGCGTGTGCGCCTCGGACGTCCCGGGCAGCATGTCGGTGACGACGATCGACTTGGTCGTGCCATCCATGAGCATGTCCACCCACACCCGACGCTTCCCAACCTGGATCACGGGCAGTCGGTGCGGCTTGTCGAACGTCACTTCAATGTTGACGAGCGCGTCTTGCGGCACGAGCTCGAGCTCCTTCATCGGCGACGACGAGAGGAGCGTGCTCTGCAGCTGGAGACACACCGTCGGGTTGTTGCGCGGTACGTCCGGCACGTACGCCAGCGATGTCAACGGCGGCAGCACGTCGAGGCTCTGGTAGGCGTGCGAAGGGGCGTCCTGCTTTTGCCATAGCACAACGCGGAACCGGGTGCAGTCGTTTCGGACAATGTATGGGATCGGCAGGTTGACGTCGGGCCGCGCCTCGACGGCGGCGTGGAGTACAACCACCAGCATCGGGTCCTGAAGCTGAATCGCAACGTGGAGCATGTGCGCGGTCGGGTGGTCGTGGACGCCGCAGTCCGTGAAGACGTCATGCGTCGGCGGTGGCGCGTGCATCTTGAGCATAAAGTCGCCGACAACATCCATCTCAAATGCATGCGTCCACATCGTCGGGCGCTTGCCGCCGAGTGGCAGCCAGCGCACTTGGACCTTTTGATCGTGGTCGCTCTCCCAGTGGAAGAACGCTTGGTCGCCGGGCGAGAGGCGCGTCAAGGCGCGGGACCCGCTTTGCGTCACCTCGAGCGTAGCGTCCAGCGATTTGTTGACAAGAAGGTACCGCGGCGTCAAGGTGACGACGGTCGTCCGGGAGAAGCGGCCGGGCCCTTGGTCGAGGCGGACACCGAGCGCAAACTCGGTCGTGGCGCCGGCCTCGGGCTTCTCTTCGGCAATGCCCATGAGCGACGAAAAGTGCTTGGAGAGCCGCGTGCCAACGTTCTTGAGGCCAACGTGCGTCCGGTGCAAGCTCAGCGGCGCCCGCGTGCCAATGGCCGAGAGGTCGATCGCCGTCGACGTCCACTGCGCCGACCCATCGAGCACCTTGGCGCACACAACCGACGTCTGCGACGCGATCGTGAGCGGATTCGCTGCAAAAAACACTTCGTCCGGCGACGGCGCCAGCAGCCGCTGCGACTGAATGGTCGTTGTCGGTGTGTCAAAGTGGAGCCCGAGGCCCGACCGGTCGATGAACCAATACTCGGCGTAGAGGCGGCAAGCCACGGGCCCATGTCGATGCGGCGTCCGGTCGCTCGTCTAGTTGAAGTGTTGACAAAGGTACTTCATGGTAGTGTAAGCACCTGCAGTGGGTCACAGAGGTCGACGACGACGACGCAGTTAGCGCCGAGGGTTGCATACTGCCGCTGAGTCGCCAACTTGGGGCCAAAGATCCACACGATATCGGTCGACCGCGGCAGGCCGACGCTCGGCACCGCAAGGCTCAGTGCGATCGAGACGTCTTGGCGCATGTCGACCACACACATGGACGCGCAGCTGCCCGAGTCGATGGCCCCCATCGCGATCTCTTGCCGGCCGTCCTTGGACTCCTAGTCCCAGGATTTAGCGATTCTAGAACCTAGTCGCGTACTACGTACATGCAGCAAGTGGTACGTGGCCGGCCACGGCAAGAGATTCTCGACACTCAAGGGCGCGTGCAGCGACAAACTCAGATCCAAGTCGACGCTGCTGGCAACGACGAGCACATTGTACGGGGGCAAGTGCACGCCGGCCGTCGTTTGCGCCGGATACGCCCGCCAAAAGAACGTGATCGTATCGACAATGTGGCCCATCTTGGCCTTCTCCTGCGGTGCCTTCTTGGCTGCGGCCACGAGCGTGCGCCACGCCAGCGGCAAGCCCGGGTCCAGAGCGCCGTCGTCGAGCCGCGGACACAGCGTCACGTACCCGTCCTTGAGCGCCTGCACGGGCACGTACGTCGACGCGCCGGCACTCAGCAGAAACGGCGGCCCCGTGGGCATGTCGTAGTGCACATCGACGGGCACCCCAAGCAAGTTGCGCAGCTGCACCGCCGACCGAATGCGCAGAATCAGCGTCCCTTTCTCGGCGACAGTCTCGCCCAAGAGCGGCTGGTCGGCTTGGAACTGGAAGCAGCTCTTGTGGCCGTGCTCGATGGGCACCAGCATCGGCTTCTTGTCGTACTTGAGCCACAGCAGGCGGCGCATCGGGGCCATGACGATACCCGCGGGGGCTTCGTGCGCTAGCATGCTCGTGGGCACACAGCTGCCGCTGCGCACCGGCGTCCATAGCAAGCGCGACCCGCTCTCCGTGCTGTCCGACGCCACGGTATCGACCATCGCATAGGCCAAGAGGACGCCGCTTTGGTTGTCGACGTAGACGTTGGAGCCAAAGGTCTCGGGGCGCCCCGAGTCGCCCGCTCGATCCTGCGTAAAGAGCTCGAGGCCGTGGAAGAGCACGTGCAGGTTGTTGCGCGAGACGTTGAGCGCCAGGCCCGACGGCATCGTCAGCAGCAGCGTGTCGCCCGCGCCCGACGCCTCGCACTGGAGCAAATCGCGCTGGATCTGCTGCTTGGTCTCAAACGCCCGCCGCGCAATCGACGTGAAAAGGTGGGTCTTGGCCGTCGGGAAGACGCACTGTGGGGTACTTAGGCACTCGAGCACGCTGTCTTCGTAGAGGCAGACGTCGCAAACGACGCCGCCGTGCGCATGGTACGCGACATGCACTGGAAATTCTTCGAGAATGGGCTCCCACACGGCGAGGCGGCGGTTGTACGCCTGGAGGTTCATGCCGAGATGCAAGAAGAGCGTCGCACGGCGTCGTTGCGTCTGAAGCGCCATCGATATCGGGACGACCTCGGCATGCAGCAGTGGAAGATGCATGTTGTTCATGTCGTTGAGCACTGTGAGGCGAACGCCAGGCACCGCGATCTGCGCCGAGACGACGCGGAACCGGTCGCTGAGGCCGTCGATGGGGTGGGCG